CATTCCTTGTTCGAGTAGACGGAAAGAAGACTTCCCGTGCATCCACTTCTCCAGCAGGCATTGACGTCCGTTCACGTGAACTTCCACGATCGCGGCAAAGTTGCTCCGTTTTCTTGTTGAAGATTTTCGGATACAAACCTATATCGCGCGACACGCGCAGTTTGAACGATGTTCTAACACAGCGAGAAAAGTTAGCGGACACGGATCGGAAAAAAGCCTGCGTCACACAATGGAGAATGTACTCTATTGTTGTAGTAAGTTGCTCCGGCAACTTTCAAGTTAATCAACCTGGCATTAGTAACTTCCTATCTCTTATCATCTTACATTTCTAAAGTTTCTATAGAAGAGGAAATCGGGAAGGTTACATTCAGAAGATTATATACTGTCTATCAATTTTAGCGTTTCCGGAAAACAGTTTCTTTTAAGAAAATATTTCTTTGTAAAGTAATATACTGTTAAGAACAATTTACACCGAGCGACTTTACTCGCTTTCAGCAAACGTTTTAGAGCTTCTTTTGATGCTGCTGCCCAGTGATTCGTTTGACCAGTGATCACTCGATGCTGCGACTTTAAAATTTTAGACACTAACGAATAAAAAAAAACAATTGTGTGGGAGAAGCTTTCATCTGCGAGTGAATTCACTAATGAATTTAAGAAACTTGCTTCATGCAGAATAAAAGCAGCGTCGAGAAAATTCGCTGACGAATTAATGACGTCATTAGCTGGTGACGAAGTGAGTAAAATCGCTCCGTGTAAATCGCCCTTTAGATATCAAAGAAGCAATCGCAACTCAATCCCTTAATATCCTTTTTATTACATAATTTATTGAATTAGATATCACTTCAGTTTGGGAATCTGTGAGTGACTTATTCTTAATGGACTGTTGAACTAATACTTGCAAAATTATATCTGCATTACTGAAAAAGACTCTAAAGAAAATCGAATGTACAATCAATTGGAACAAAGATGACCTAATAACATTATTCTTTTCACAAAATAAAAAACCTATGACATCACTAACCGTGTTGCTCTTCATTAGCCTTAAATTTATTTACTTTTTCCAATTCTTTTGAGTTAAATAATATTTTTATTTTCAACTTCCATATGTATCAAAATTTAAATCAATTTCTGTGATTGAATTGCTTAATTCCAAAATAAACAACATACATATTAATATATGTGCACTTTGTAAATAATAAACTAAATTTAAATAAATTTTAATACAGTTCTTAAGTTAAATTGTTTATTCCATTATTTCAGTTAAATAACAACATATTAAAAAGGATCAATGACGATTTATTAAATAATTAAAAATAACTCAAATTATTATAACTTTACATTATAAATTTAACAGTGTATCCGTGTTAAAAGTTTTGCAAGATTTATTCGGAGCAGTGAAATATTTCACAAATATTGTACAAATCAAATTTTTATCGAATTGTTTGACAAAGAATTTTGTAAGTTATATAAATCTTTAGACGATACACTTTTTAAACGAATGCGTGATTTAAACGTGACAGAAATGTCTGTGAAGTTAAAGCTAATGGATCGAGTTTTCCATTCTCTGTTATCTCGGTTAAAATATTACGGTATCGACATATGGAGATCTAGGCTCTTCGATAGGCACTTTAACTTGAACGTTCTTCACGATAATTTAAAGCTCACATCTCTGATGGTGTCAGCCAACAACTCAAGCTATGTTTCGATTTTTTTTTGCGCTTTTGCTCTCAGGATCTGCACACGATGTTTCGTTTAACAAAGGCTGATAAAAAAAGTGTTTTCGCCAGTAGCGGTTTTTATCGATCTTTCGCATATCGATCTTTCGTAATTAGGTCAAGAGAATGGAGATCTATGAATCGGATCGACCATTATTGAAATCCGTTGCTCGTAAATTTTCCGCGATACTATCGGCTGCTGATGCCAGGGCCCAACGACTGTCGATTAGCGGATTAGTATTATCGGTCTCCGTCGTGCCATCATTGGAATTCAAAGGGAGACATAAAGCTTCTCGCGTTTACGGTCGAAGATATTGCCGAAATCCACAACAATCGCCTGGATTGCATCATATCGTGATCGTTTAATAGTAATTTTATGTCGAGGTCTGTAAGAAATATTACGAAAATCACTTTTTTCTCTTCCATCACCATGACTACCAGGTAATAGTCGCGAACATCATTAATATTTTAAAGCATCTTCGAATTTGTACTTTAATCTTACAGTTTAAACGCGAATTTCAAACTACAGCCTCTTAGGTGCCTCTTCCGACGATAAGTCAAAGCGCGCATTAAGCTCCTCGAAAGACAGTAACAGCTATTCCTTCTAATGGTGTCAAAGCTTGATCGAAACCTTTCTAGCTATATCGTAAGATTTACGTAAAATCCTGAAACGCACTGCTTTTCCATTAGTCTTAAGGAACCTTATAAGATTTTAATATTCTAAAAATGTAATTAATAAAGGATTTTTTATTCTTTACGCTGACACGCATGCAAACAATTATATACATTTTCTTTTCTCTGGCTTTATGCTTAATTTTTGATGTTACGTTATGATTATGAGAATATACATAAATTTTCATTTGTAATAATTTGATATATTTTCTTTGTAAATACATACGTATAATATGTATATATTTGTTTGCTTTTTATTTTCAACATATTCCTTTTTTCGTATTTATATATAATATGCAAATGCTTAATTTTAACATATAAAATTTATATGTAAATTAGAAAAAGTAAATACACAATCAATTATTCAGCAGACATCAACAAGCAATTATTAACATTCGCATTCTACGAGATCTCAGATATTATCTAGTAGCAAATAGAAGAGATTAATATGATTGAAACGAAATGACGGAAAAATGTTTTATTACTTTCCTGCATTTCATTTAAATATCTCGTATTTTCAAAAACTTAATTATATACATGACGATAAGGTAGAAAATAACACTTAACTTTCCACCTACAATCTAAATCTTTTTTGACACAAGCAAAATTTCATTCTCAAATTCACTTTTATTTTTGCTCAAATTTTAAATTTTATTAAATAAAGATTTTAATTAGACTTAAAAAATCTATTTGGAAATATAAAATAGAGATGTTATAAAAGTAAGCGTGAATTTTGTTTAAAAGAGAGTCAGAATAGAAAAGTCTAGAACAGTAAAAAAAAGTTGAACTCGACAAGAAAAGATAAATTGCAGATAAAAGGAGTAAAAATATGACTGCACAATGAAGGTTAATATTTTAGTCTAATTTAATGTTCAAGTCAAGAGACGCAATTTTGTCAGAGAGGTTGCTAGCAAAAACGCGGCATGCATTTTCCTTCTCTGAATGTCAGGATATACACAATACCTTCGCAATTACACGTGTGCTGCAAGATATCCTGGCATAGATATTCCGTCGGTTGGAATTATAGACGTGAGATCGTGATAAAGACCGCCGAGAAGCAGAATTGTATATTTCGCTCGAGAGGAAAAGCTTGAGAAAAGATCGACCAATAGCGCAGCTTTTCGCAATGCGAAGAGATTAAAAAAGTGCTAGCGAGGCTAAGTATAAAAACAGAGAGACGCGTTTCTTAAGTAAAAATCCTGCTTCTTACAGACGCGAACGAGAATTTATGACTGTTTATGGAGCGAAATAAGTTATACGCGAAGATACGAACGAGCATCATGTTACGTTTTGTGAAATATTCCGGCCTAGTTTATGGTCTCGCGCTAACAAAACATAGTAAATATGTTTTGTATTGTATCAATAAATACTTCGTTGCAGACTGAACCGCAGTGTCGAGAACGATGGTGTGCACAACGAACGAATCAACAACGACTTCGTGATTGTCCGAAGGCGCGAGAGAATACGCGCAATAATAAAAATCAATGGTTTCCGCGGTTAGCTTGTCTGCATTTTTCTGCCGCTTGCAACCATTTCATGTGCGTCGTTACATAATTCTACGTTACTGCATTGCTGCAGTCGACGACTGTGCTCTCTTGCAACGAAAGGCTATCCAACTTACTGAATCGAAAATGGGTAACCTTATATTATAGTCTATATTCACATAACTTTGGACTTTATCCCCACAGTCATACGAAATATGACTTTCGGAATAAAGTCCAAAGTTACGCGACATACGAGGTTGAGTTCATAAATTTTACATGCATTTTCGAAAAATTCGAAAGAAGATAAATGAAACATGATTTAGACTTGTAATCAGTAAGTAAATGTGCGCTTTTTCATTCTCGACAATGTGTTACCATGTGCAATTTATTGCTAACATTTTTTTCAATTTATTTATGGTGACAATGACAAATAGTATCGTATACAGATAGGTATGCATAAATCTATGGATTGTTCTAAAAGAAACAGAAGCTGCCATGATTAAAAATACAGAAATATCTTGAAAAAGTTAATCAAATAAACCCCGCAAATAAAACATTGCAAATCTATTACAATATTCTATTATGTATTACGTATTTTAAATTTTAAAAAATATAGAAATTCCACTACAGTTATATAATGTAAAATATCAATTGGTAGGATTGAATTTTCAATTTATAATTAGTTTCAATTCGGTTTACTTTAAGAAGGGACTCTCCCTAAGAAGACAATATTAATTTTAATAATTGAGATATCCAGATTTAAATAAGTTTTGTTACTTTTGTCTAAAAATTTAAATTGGCGATGAAAATATTTTGCAACATTTTTGAACATTTTTAAACATTTTCAGAATTTATTTTCAAATATTACCTTATTAGTGATGCTATTTTATTAGTTTTAAGAAAATATTACAAATTTTATCCATGTAGTTTTGCATTTATTTAATATTTTTTGTCTTTATTGTAAATGATACAACTTTTTCAAAAAGAAGATTATTCTCGTAGTTAAAGTTTCTTACAATGTATTTTATTGGCGTCAGATCACATCTATAGTTCATACAAAATGATACACGATGATATGAGATGCGAATCTGCCGACAATAAAAGCTGAAAAGATGATAGTCGAACTCACCGGACTGTGCTCTGTGCGCGGGTATGGCGGGGGCGGGCGGCAATCCGGCGATGCTGCAAAGCGTCTGTCCACTACCGTACTTAATACTCCTGCAGTGACACGGCGTGGTAGGCGTCGTCAGCCCCTCGTTGTCTCTGACGGTAGCCCCGATCACCGAGATCTCGTCGAGTTCATGCCCGCTGTCGTAATGGCACAGTCTCGTCGCGCTGGTACTGGCCCCGCCACCCCCGACGCCGCTATCTTCCCCGGCACCGGCGTCGGAACGACCGCCGCCGGTGCCCCTGCCCCCGGTCCGGCCCCTAAGCGACTGCACCAGTCGCTTGGCGCCTGAAGACATTCCACGGAGGTGATCCAGCCTTCCGGTCTTCGTTTCCTCTTGTCCTAGCCAAAACCGCCCGAGTACACGCCCGGGGATATCCACCTAAAAATTGCACGCTTGTAATCGTTGAGTTATGATGGTATTAAATTGCTGTGTAAAAGTTGTGTCTACTAGTGAGAACAGGATTTCCGAAGTTCCAGTTTCCGTAGACATCGTGTATTTGAGATCGTATTGCCAGCGAGATCTATGATCATTTATCGTTTTTCTTTGTATTCTTCCCAAATTTATTTTTTATGTCTATAGCAAGGAATTTTGCAAACATTGAACGCATACTTTTTGCATGTAATACATGTTATACAAATGATTTTACTGTATCTATTTTATTAAATTATATTATTTTATTAAAATATTACAATATTGTAATTGAATTGAAGTAAATTGTAATTTATATTTTATTGTATTTTGACTGTATTATTAACGCGCGCACGATTTCAATACTAAAAGTACCGTGCGGTCATTATTGATCGTGCCTATTTTTAATATTACATTTTTTGTATAAAAAAATAGGATTCTGAAATTTTTAACTTTTTAATATTATATCTATATAGATGAAATATTTGGATTTTCATCACTTTCTTTATCTTAATAGTATTTTATTTGCTTGGTTTATTTCCTTTTAGGCCCGATTTTATCAATGTAAAATTAACTTTAATTTCGATTTATTACTTATTTTTTTATTTTATTTGTTCACAGAATCAGAAAAAGATAAAAATAAATTAAACCAAGATTAAAGTTAATCTATAATAGAAATGGACATCAGAGAATAAAAACATTGATTCTTCTAATGTTAATTTTCATGATTTTTTTCAGATACTAGACAGAATTATGCAGCAATTTAATACAAATGAATTTATTATATTATAACATTTGCAATAATCACACAGTCGATAAACGATCTAAATTGTAATTAACAGACTACTGAACGGTTTCGTCTGACCATACGAGGCTATATCTACTTGTCGCGCCAAACAGAGTATGAATGATTGCTTTGAGAAACAAATCACTCACACAAGATTGAAATTCACCGGTTTGCCTGAAGCTATGTAATAGTTTGACTTGTGCAGAATAAAAATTTGGCCATTTTTAGCTCCGACAGACATTTATGATAAATGATCAGTCGGATACATACATCTCCTTTAGTCTCTACCTTTTCATCTTATCGATTTTAACTAGAAAGAAGCAAAGCGCTGTACTTAAAAGAATGTGATAACTTTGATAATACATGATAGATTGCCTTTCATCTTCACGTTCATGCATCGTGCTTTGAAGAGAAAAAATATATTGTAACGTATGAAATATTTCGCATGTCGATATAAATGTTTAAAATTGTTACAACTCATTGTCAGAAGTAGATGGAAATAAAAATATAAAAGTTATAACCAAAACAAAAAATTTAATAGAATATGTTAATATAGGTAACTGTTTATATGTTAAACGATATATTCTTGTTTATGGGAGCAAAGTACAACGACGATCTCCGGAGAGATTATTGGGATTAAAGTCCAGATGCGAAAGGTCTCTAGGTCGTTTCTTACACAATACATAAGACACAATACTTAAGCTGGATAGTGAGGATAAGAGAGAAGGGCGATTACCCTTCTATTTGATATGATGTAATACGGAGGAAAAATTGAAATAAATTCAATACAAACATTTATTTAAAGGATGGATTTATGAAAAATACTATTTGAAATAATATTTTATGTAAAATATTTAAAATAAATATTTTGCGTAGTAAATATAAAAAAGACAAATAATATTAATGTAAATGTTAATGTAAATAGTAAATACTATTATATTCACTATTATATATACTACGCAAAATGCTCCAAATATTTTTATAAGCGCATCCTTTAAATAAATATCTATTGAATCTAATTCTTCAATTCTTTCCCTATACTGAAAATATTTACTATTTGAATGCAATGAAAATATTTTAATACTATTTTTCCCACTATTTTCCCTAGCACTCCACAAATATAATATACTCACCACGTGGTGATGCCGCCCCGCAGTGGTAGCTCTGCTCTCTGCTGACTACGTGTATCGCCAACGGTAACGCCGCGCACGATCGCGACCGATGTCACCGAGCGTAGCACATGATCGCTTTTTCTTGATCCTCGGCACGATTTCGATCCGGCACGCGGCCCACGTGTCTCGACACTCCGCTTTCGTGCTCCGGTTCCGCGCTACCGATTGTTATTCGAGCCGCTCGAGCGTTCGTACGCACCGACAAGAAGAGCAGCGACGACGGCCGACCACCGAAGGAGATCGCACAACGATCGGCGGCATGCCAAATTACACCCGTCAAGCACGTCGCTTCTGGCACCGATCGCTTGACAGGCTAACGATCACTGTGCGTCGCGATTGTGATGGTGGCGACGGCATGCATACACTTTTTACGAACGGTAATCGATAGACGTACGAGGCACGCGTCGCTCGCCACACGATCGTCTGCGACCGTCTTCTCGAGCGACATGCCGCGGTTACGGTCGGCCCGATGGCGCGTTCACCGATGGAACTTTCGTCGGTGTCGGCGTACTCTTGCCTCTTCGCGATACCGATGACGAATGGGATCCGTGTACCTCTTTTGCGACCAGGAAAACCGATATACCTGGTGGCCCGATATTGACGCCGACAGACCCTCTTTAAGGGACGGCCGACGTGCAACAAGTGTCTCGAGCGACACTCGTCTCACGTGCCGCTGCTGCGCTCTCGCCTACTCCACGTTCAACCACTCTCGCTGATACACTCGATACTTCGCGTTCGATCGAACGACGGCTGAAGACTCGTCTTGGAAGTACGTGGACACAGTGCGACAGTATCTGGGGAGAACAGAGAAAACAAAGATTATTTAACGAACGATAGGTCCCAATTGGAAAAATACGTTAAAAGATATTAGTTCGCAATTGTTTTCATAAATATATTGATGGATTTCGAAAATGTAAGGTATTATTCCTGAAGAGAATCGATACGGGATATTCATGAATTCTCCGTATGAGGACCAGAAACCTCTTCTTAAGGGCTAAGCGCTCGACGTTGATGGAGAAGTAACGAGCTGGAGATTAGGATATGGCACACTCGAAATTGCTAATATCGATTATGCCGAACCTCAAGTTGTACGAAGAGGTTCATACGTTCGTTACACTTAGATTAATCTCAAGGGAACTGGAGCAGTAAATGGATCGTAACGATCTAACATCTTCAAACATTCAAATTGTTCTTAGGTTAGATAGATTCTGTACATATGAGATATATTTATTATACATTACATAGTTCAGAATAATGATCAAAATAATATCGTGTCGATAATTACAACTTAGTACAGTTATATTGAGACAAAAGCATGATCAATAACAACAATCGATTGATCACTTTGATGAAATGAAGTTGAATTAAATAGAAAATCATATATGAGTTAAGACTCACTTCAATCAAAAGTGACTTTTTTCTTTTTTATTTATTCTTAAATCTTTCTCGATTTATTTCACTTAATATTGTATTTATTAAATTTATATTTTTTTCGGTAGTTACTAAAATATTTTCTTTGACATTTCTTTTGCGCACTATTCTATACAACAACTACAAGACTATTTTTAAATTGGTTTTGAACTAATCCATTGATATATGTATACATCCTGTCGGACGAGATGATGGATGCATCGTGACATTAGCTGTATACACATTTTGCAACCCTGCACATTCTGCAACCTTACATAACGGAGGTACAAATGTGGACAGAGGGGTTACGGTAAAGGAGAAAAGGCATTGTACATATACATCTTTGAAAATAGAAACAAGTAGTTTGTGGATATGAGGACATTGAACTGTCGCCAACCTAACGTATTATTTTGCTCTCTTATTCTCGTGCACAAGAAAGACAAGGTATTCAATCGTTTGACATCGCGATGCGAAAAAATGCCCCTAAGATATTTCACACTACAACACGAGGCGACTTGTTCTCAGAAAAGGGATTTCCACACCAACGTTTTTCTTCATTTATCAAAAGTTTTATCTAGACATGAAATTGCTAAGATTAAGAAGACGGATACACGAGAGAGCTATATTTAAAATTACAATAGTGTATTGTTGCAATATTTTTATTCGCAGTATTTTGTGCTAAGTTATAAGAGATTAGCAGTGAATTTGTTGAAATATATCTTATTTTCTAATGGATGATTGATTTATCATATACTACTGTTATTTCTTATGAACTATCTCTACTTTCTTATGAAAATCAATCGATAAATAATTAACCGGCAAAAGGTGACACTTGATCTTCGAGCAGCGCGTTAAATTGATTTCGCATAACAAAGAACAATGGCTGTCGCATACGGGATGAATATTAGGAGTCCTTGCACAGCATCGGATAAATTATGTAGGCAACGAGAGTCTGGTTTTATTGCCGGCGGGATCGTTGTGCCTCTGCAATCCAGGCGTAAACTCGACGGCTCTCTCATATGGAAATCGTAACTTGAAAGTATAATATGGAAAAAAATATCCGTCAGTGGTCTACGTTACCAGAGCACGTTTGTTTTAGCTCATAAAAATTCCGGTAAGAGTATATTTATTTCGGGGAAGTATTAAGTCTAGAAAGTGCGTTAAAAGTTTACGGGGGTTAAGGGCATGCTTCGATAAATCATCCGTTAAGACTTTTTTCTTCAAAATTTAGATGGAAATCAGGTAGATCCTAAGCCGATCGTTAAATAATGCATAACAGCCAAAGTTTCATGTAGTTTTTATAATTTTATATTTTATTAGAGAAACGAGTTATAGAAATTATTTTGTCATAGAAACATCTAATCAAACATCTAATCGGAAATAAAAAAGACGTTTCCATCTACCGAAGTAAGTAGAATTTCAAATGGAAATTAATACGTAATGTGATGCGATGCAATTTGATACAAACAAAGGAAAATAAATATAAATTAACGTCGCACGCTCCATTCAGAATAAAT